CTTGTATATAATCAAAATAATAAATGAGATTGGTGATTTTAGTGCTAGTCTTTAGATTCTGGTGTGACCCACAATCCATCTCTGTAATTTTAAATGCCAAGTGTCCTTTACCTTTATTATTTATTATTAACCTTTTCCTCTCATCTATTGTTTTCTGTACATTAAAATATTTGTTTATTAACAACATTAATACATTCTCTTTTGTCATTTTAATATTACCATTATGTCTTTCTTGAGTTATGTTAGAATAGACTGGCACGTTCTGCTTTGCCTCCATGATTTTGAATGGTATTATTAAATTTAAACTCTCAAGGACTTAATAATTAACAATATGCAGAAATCCTTTCTAGCACAAAGTGAGGATGGAGGTTTTATTAATTAGAAATGACTGCAAATTTTTAAAAATATCTTAAAAATTTGTGCTATAAAAGAAGAACATTTTGAGATTGTTGGTATTCAGCTGTTTACTCAAAAGCCATAGTGAACCTTATGCATATGATTTGTAGTTTGTGTGATTGAATATATAGTTTTAAAATGGTGTGTTTCATGAAGGATGAGTAAAGTGATAGTTCTCAAATGAGGCTTATAAACTGTGACTAACAAAGCAGATAATTCATACTTATGTTTTCTTTTATGGATAAAGAGATAGTACGATGACTAGGCATAAAATTGGTATTGATAATTGAGTACTTACGTGCCATGCAATATACTGTTTTACATATAATAGCATCTTTAATTTTTACAACAACTCTACTAAGTAAGTACTACCATCACTCCCATTTTTCACGTGGGAGAAATGGAGGACTAGAAAGGCTACATAACTTACTGAAAGTTGCAAAGCTAGGAAGCATTAGGGCTAGGAACTGAGGCCAAGGCCCCATTGCTTGACCTGTATGCTGCATTCATTATTTGATGCAGAGTAGCATAAGGAAAGAATTGAGGGTTGCCTGGTGCATGAACTCACTCGATCCTTGACACATTATGTGATAAAAGAATAATAACTAACGTCTATGCAGCACTCACTTTGTACCAAACACCTACAAATATACATTATATGATAGGTTTTCCTGAAGAGCAGCATGGCAATGGAAAGGAGAAATTATAATGAACAGGATTGTTTTGGGGGCAGTACTCACTTTTTTCTCCTGTCTCTCTCCAAATACCCTCTTTGACTAGGCACCTGCTTCCTTCCGAATGCTCAAAGATGCCAAATAACATTATGTTATAAATATCATAGTGGACAGCAAATAAATACCTATAAAATGAATGAATGAAACCCAACTATGGCAGGCATTATTATTTGCCTTTTATGGATATGGAAACTGAGCTCCAGGAGATTAAATAACTGCTGGTGTTATACAGTTCATTAGTTGTAGAACTAGACTTGTAGTTCATCTTTAATTTACTCTAATCCCTGAGTCTTCCTACCTTATTACATAGTTTTCCATTTAACTTCTTTCCAGGAAGTTCAATAGAACTCTTTCCTCTCCCCTCCTCCTTTCTGGTTTCTGTATCAAAATGTTCAACTCTCAGTTTGTTGGTTAAGCTCTCCTTGGAATCAAGGAGAAAATAAACTGGGTGAACAAAATCCTACTAACATGGGAAATGACTAGTATTAACTTAACAACAATAGTAGCTACAACTTACTTAGTACTTCTTATGTGCCACTGAATCCTCATGATGGCCCCATGGGGTACATATTTTCACTTCTATTTTACAGATGAAGAAACAAGAGAGGGCTTGCACTTAATCTATATTATCTCTGGCGATAAGCTATGCCATCTGAGAAACTATATTATACAGTTTAAAAGATTATCCTAGGCACCACTCAACCCCCTTCAGTAGAGGACTGACTGGCAAAATAGTTAAGGAAAAGAGCATTCCAATAACATGGAAGGGTTTTTAAATTAGTTTAGATCAAAAGTTCTTAATTCTGGCTGCACATGAGAATACTCTGGGGAGTTTCTAAAAAAATACCCTGAACCTATCACAAAGCAAGTAAATTGGAATCTCTTCAGTTAAAGCCCTGAAGAGGTTCTTTTTTAAAGCCCACCAGTGATTCCAGGGTATAGCCACAGTGGAGAATTAAAGTGCATCTGTAGAGATGTTTGGACTATGTTTGAGCCCTTCTCATGTCACCGTATAGATTCAGTGTTCACTTGTGGTGGGTGCTCAGCAGGTGGGTGTAGATTGACTGACATCTGGAAAGAGCTTTGAAACCTGGACAGTTCAAGTGCTATTCAGATATATTGTATAAACATAATATCTTTAGTCACAGGATATTAAGTCACAGGATATTTAAGTACCTTAAGTAAAAGGTACTTAAAATAAAAAAAAAAAAATGTGCCTTATTTGTGTTAGTTAGGCAAGTCAGAATTCTTTGCCAACTATTTTATTATGCCCCTATTTACAATATATATTTATTATATTTATGACATCTTGAACACTTTTCAAAGTTGAAAGTGTTCTATGGATGGGGAAAAGCCACTGATGTGGCACAGATGTTGCTATGTTTTCTTCTCTTCCTTTCTCTTGCCTTTTTGTCCTTTCCCTTCCCTTCATCTCTTCCTTTCCCTCCTCAGCAGAGAAATTTGAGAGATATTAACAGAGTGGAAAGTGTTATTTTATAGATTTAAAAAATGAGTCTGTGTGTTTTTGCCTCCCTCCCTCTGTCTCTCTCTCTCTGTCTCCAATCAGTATAACTATAAAGTAAAAAAGAAAGAGTTGCTTATAGATTTTGGCCCCCTGATTCTCAACAAAAAAATCAGAGCTTTAATATCCCATTATATTTGTTTCAATTCTGCCTCTTTCCAAAAAGTATTTGAAGCTGCACTGAGCATAACATTGCAGAAAGATAACAACATATAAGAAGAAAAGTTAAGATCTTGCAAAAGAGATGTAGCAATATGTTCACCATAGGAACTTAGCATAATTTTGTGAGTAAGAAATTTACAGTGGGCTTCCCATTAATTAGGACATGAAACAGTTCACATAGTTGTCGTTAGCAGAAAGGAGGAAGTATGTAGTGATTACTCAGGGATGACAAGGAACTTCTGCCACAAGACCTTATAGGGGACATTATGTGTTATGATAGCAGCGCCCTTGACTACAGCTTCACAACAAATACCAAAGTAGTTTCAGTATTTCTATTCCTGTAGTTGAAGACCTAAAGTTAAAACCAAACTTGGTGAGGTTGATCTAAGATGCTGTTGTATGTAAATTTTTTCTTTTGTTTTTTATCATTCCTCACTTGCTTTTTCTTTTAGAGTTTTCTCCAAGTCTTAATGTAGATGAATGAGTCTTGTTTTTAACCTTCAACATCATTTGCTTTCCCCTAAATTAGCTGTTTACTGATAGACAAATTTAGGACTTATTTTTAGTGGCTTGGGATTTTTTGAAGCCCTGAGATCTGCCCTGTCTTGTTTTAGCTTTCCTTTCCCCTAAAGTGAGACTTGTTGATGGAGAAGAGGCTGACAGACTGTGTCGTTACCCTGGAAGAAGATAAGACCAGGGCTCATGAGTGTTGATGTTGACTGTGGGCACGAAACACTTTTCCTCTAGGGACAACGCAGCTGCAAAAGGAAGGATGGAATTCAGTGCTACTTAGAACGTTATGTGTCAGGTATGGGGATGGATAGAAAAGCCAGGGGTACTCTGCTTCTTCTAATGAAATGAGCTAGTTGAGACCAGCCTTCCAAAAAAGCTGAATTCCACAGTGGGCAAGTTCATTTAGCTTCGAGTCATCTGCTGGTGTTGCCTGGTTCTTAGAAGTAATTAAAGGGTGAGGTGAATCTAAACTGAATGGAGAAGGTGATTTTTACCTTGCAGAATCTGTGTAAACTTAAGTTTCAGTTATCTTTTTCATTTCCCTTTTGGTAGCAAACATTAATGCTTGAGGACATGCTGCCACTCATTTCTGAGAAGCATCAAATAGTTGGCTTTTGTCTGTGTTCAGACACAATCAGCTTCAAGTTGTTTCTGTAGATACTAAACATAAATATTTGGGTAAAACAAGCTTACAAATTATGTGATTTACTTCACCATCCTTGGAATTATGAATCTTTTTCATAAAACAATCTCGGATTGTTTTTGCAACGTTGTTATATTTATCTCACACCACTCTTATGGTTTCCTTATTTTTCAAGGAGTCTTTGGAACCTATATTAAAAAACATCTAAAAAATGATCTTCTTTTACTTAATACACATAAAACAGCTCTCAATAGTGTAGTCATACTTCATTTAGACATACTGCATTGAAACACTAATTAGTCATGATGGAAAAGATTCTTTTATTCTTTTTCATCTTTTTCATTTATATTTCCTCTTAAATGAATCCACTACCATCCATCCATTCATCTATCCATCTACCCATCCACCCATCTACCTATTTATTCTTTTATTTGTTCATCAAATATGTATTAACTAACACCTGCCATATTCAAGAGAATGAGCTGTCTGGTGTTTGGATGGATGAGACGTTACAAAAGTGACTAGATTCTGAGACATTTGACTCTGGAAGCACAAATAGACAATGTTAATTTCTATGAGTGAAGGATTAATTATGTGCCTTAGAAATTTGCAGGTAACAAAGAAAATTTCCAGCTTGTAGGTAGTGTCCAAGTGCTTCAGAAACGCTTTTTCACTTCAGCTGACCTATTCAATGTTTGTTTCTTTTGGATGAAGGAAAGTGTTTTAGCATTTAGTATAAAATACGATAGAAGTTATCTGTTCTAAGCTCAAAAATGCCTAGAATATCCCTAGATTTTTCAAGATGTTTCACATTGTCAGTACTTTTATTTTTTTGTAGTTAAAATACAAATGCTTCAAAATACTTACTAAAATAGCAAAAAGTATGAGAAGTTATCTGTCTTCAAAGTTCGTGTTCTTTCCTCTTACTGAAGAAACTTCAGTTGTAATGTCGCCGTGTTTTTTGTTAAGTGCTTATTGTGATCTTTGTTTATTTTTCTTTTGTTTGATTTTATGATGCATTATTTTTCAGGGGCAAAATTAGTAAAGGCTTGGAGGATTTAAAACGTGTTAGTCCAGTAGGAGAGACATACATCCATGAAGGACTAAAGCTAGTAAGTTCTTTTACATTTATAGGGATAGGGGAGAATGTGTTCTTATTCTGTAATACAATAAACCCTAATCTCTAGTAAAACTCAAAGGTCCCCTTACGTGTTTATCTTTAACATTTTTAAAAAATGCTTTTAGTTGTTCTAAGGATGAGACTGACTTACTGTGGTGATAAGAAAAAATTTGAATGGCATTTTGCCTTTTAAGGAATTTTCATTTTCTGTGTGCTTACATTCAGACCAGTCAACCAAAGCTTAAAATTTATCTCCTTTAAACCCAATCGTAACTACTCTTTACTGTGAATATATGCCTATTTCAAATAAAATAGTTAACCCCAAATACCCTGTTTGAAAAGCCAGTCTATAATATTTTGATTTTGTCAGACTCATAAACTCAGCTTGATGGAGTGTGCTGGTTAAAAGTTAAGATTAAATTGTTAGTTGGATAATTATTCTTCATTTTCAGGCAAATGAACAAATTCAGAAAGCAGGAGGCTTAAAAACCTCCAGTATCATAATTGCTTTGACAGATGGTAAGTTGGACGGTCTGGTGCCATCATATGCAGAGAGAGAGGTGAGTATTGAACTGAACTTGTGCTTTATACCCCAGTGTATTTGGCTGTGTGTCTCTATGTATAGCCTGATATTTGGATAATTCACCTCTGTCTCTCTCCCTCTGTCTTTCTCTGTCTCCATAGGCAAAGATATCCAGGTCATTTGGGGCTAGAGTTTATTGTGTTGGTGTCCTGGACTTTGAACAAGCTCAGGTAAGCACGGCAGATCTGCAGACTTTAATCTAAATCGCATAATTGTCATAAGGACAATTTATCAAATTCTTCTCACTGACGACTTCTTTTGATGCTAACAATTTGCTAAAGATTTTCTCTAACATGGCCATATGTCTTGAAAGCTGCATCAATAATGTCTGGTTTTGATAGGTTTCATTACTGAAAACAAAGCTTTAAATTCTTGACTATTCATTTGGTTTGGAAGAACTGATATAGGATATACGTTTGAATCAAAATGATATGGATACTCCTTGAACTCAACTGACAGGATTATTATGACAGTCTTAGTTAAATGTTTTAGTTTGATTGAAAACTTAACTCTTAGGAGTACAGGGGTTTGGGAAAACCAAATTTTTTCATGAGGCTTTGAGGGTTGATATATTAATTTTTTTTGTTCAACAAGATGATTTTGCATTTAAATTTGTGGTTGAATATGACACAAGTCTCCTGTATCTCATGGCATTTCCAGCTAGTAGAGCTCTGCACTGTTTTGAGATTCAGTCTTGGGGGCGATGTAAAGTGGCTGTGACTGATGCATTTCATTGTGATACATTTAGAGTGACACTAGAGCCATCTCCTTCAATTCCTGACAAGGCTACACTGGTGAATTAATATGTAGTGTAATTTTTCAGATGAACATAACTGAAACATAATGAAGTGTATAAAATCTTGTATGTCTCAACCACCCGTTAATTAAATGTTCCTCCTCTTTCTAAAGCTGGAAAGAATTGCCGATTCCAAGGAACAAGTCTTCCCTGTCAAAGGCGGATTTCAAGCTCTTAAAGGAATAATTAATTCTGTGAGTATTTTTCTGGGAGTAAAAAAGGCTCATGATTTTATCTACATTTGACAAATGTAAGAAGTAATCTCAATATCCAGTTCAGGTGATCATTAATGTTGAAAAACATTAAAGAGGAGGTTTGTTTGGTATTGTGAACACAGCATAATTCTAAAGATCTGGATTTTGTTTGTACGTGAGATTTGAATTCAACTCTGAGCCTTGGTTTGGGATTTCAAGTTTAAGATCTTCATAAAACAGTTTTAGTCCCTTCCACCCTTTAAGCATGGAGTACCTCGCTGTCTTGATATCTTGTAAGCTTTATAGGATTTATAGAAGAAGTATAAAATAAAGATTTGGATTGGAATGTGTGATTTCTCCCTCCTCCAAATCTGGTGTTTCATAGCTGTCAGGCACCTTGCCCCAGCGGCTGAGTATTTGACTGCTGCTGTTGTTCTTTCCATTTTAATGATTAATAGTTTCACTGGAGCTCATAATATTTCTGTTTGGAATTCAGTTGCTCTGTCTCTGGTGATCATTAGAATTGAGGCTATCCTAAAGAGTGTATCAGGAAGTGGGATGATGAAATGCGGGGAAAAACTCCTGGGCTTTCAATGCTGAGGTTTATGTTTCATTTTACTGCCTTTTGCTGGAAGCACTAGGAACAGTTGCTATTAAGTATTTATGATATTTTGGTAAACATCATCCTAAAATGGAAGTGAATAATATATATTCTCTAAGCCAGAGCTTGTCCTTTAATCTTTAGGTATTTGCTGAAGGGAAACAAACAAAAACTCAGTGTCTTTGGATATTTGGTTCTGGCTTTTAAAATTTCTCTTTTGAGATCGTGTGCTTCACAAACAGAGTGAGATGGATTAATTTTGTTTTTAAGAAGCATGTGGGTTTTTTCCCCCCTCATTCATGGAATTTTCCAAAGAAAAAAATATGATTTGGTTCTATCACATGTCAGTACTTCTAATGGACAGGCTGAATATAAATATGAAATGGAACAGAGATTTTGTTATTTTAGGAGTTTAATTATGATTAGTATTTAGAAAAAATTGCAATGTATAAAACAGTAAATATTTTTATAGTTGGATTCAAGGTAAATACTATGCAACTATGATTTGTTTTAAAATACAGAAACATGGACGGTCAATGCAACAGGGAGGATAATTTGGTCCTAGAAATAAACCAGCAGATTGTATTTTAAGTAGAATTTCATTGTGCTTGAGAACTTGCAGTTATTTTTATAATTATACTGGGAAGGAGAGAAGACCTCTCTGGATTATTTTATTTGAATTTTTTTTCTCTGTATAAAAAAGGTTCAATTCAAAATTCTTGGTGACTAATTGGTTTTTAGAAACTCTTTGCTTATGGGCTGTGACTGCATATTTCTCCTTTGAGAAATTAGTAGTTGACAACCAGAGAAGATACAGTTGTTTTATTTGTTAAGCATCATTTATTTTATTTGTATTGGAGAAGCTTTAGAATGGAGTTTCTAACTGCAGTCTTACTAGCCTGGAGTTCTTGATGGACTTTATCATGAATAAGTTTTGTGGTATGAGTTAGCATGAAATGAGGAAGATTTGTATTATTTTAGCTACAGATTGCAAACAAAGCCACTTGAGTTTCATCTGGTGGAGGCTGATGGGTAGAGTGTTCATTTTAATACAGTTACACATCAGCTATTTTGTTTACTAAAGGAGGAGTAAATTCTCCTCAGCGAAGCCGGCCTCTGGGTAAAGTGTGGTAGCCATGGCGGAGTTGACAAGGAGACAAATGGAGCCATCACAACCAAAGGTGATCTCACTAATGGTTGAGATTTTATCAACATGATGATAGCTTGGGATTTTTGCTTACTATGTAGAAATTTAAGGCAATGCAAACACCTTATCTCTCTTCAAGGCAGAGATTGCTCCATCTCTGATAATATACAAAAGCTATAATTCTGCCTTAAATTTGAATTGCACTTTATACTTACCAAGTACCATGTTATCTTCAAAAAAATCGTATTTGGTATTTAAAACAAATATACTGTATCTATTTCAGGGTAAGGGCAGAGAAGAGACTATCCCTTTATTCTTTATGATTTATCAAACGAGTAGGTAAAATTGTACTGTGAAATGTATTTATGCAAAGCCAAGCAAGTGTAAAAAAAATTAGAAAATTTAACTCTTTCAGATGTCTGGAACTCTTTGAATTTAAAATTTTTTACATATTCATTTGAGAGAGAGAGAGAGAGAGAGAGCTTGCGAGAGAGAGTGAGGGCACATGAGTGGGGGTGGGGCAGAGATAGAGACACAGAATCCGAAGCAGGCTCCAGTCTTTGAGCTGTCAGCAGAGAGCCTGACTGGGGGGTGGAACTTGCCGACCATGAGATCATGATATGAGTGAAGTTGGACACTTAATGGACTGAGCCACCCATGTGCCCTCAGATGTCTGCAGAATTTTAGTTAAATTGAGAGATAATTTATTTTTCATGCTAATAGTTATTCAAATACATCTGGCCTTATTGTCAATGAATTAATTTCTTTGCAGTTAATCTTTAATTGAAAAAAAAAAGTAATGTTGTTTTCTTGATCCTCTCTTCCCGACCCACCAAAATCCAGTGACCTAGATTGTCTGGTCCCTTATTGTGTATCACATTAAGACATAGTTTGTGTGGAATCAACTTTTTAATCGGCAAGGATAGGTGTTTCACTTTGGAGCCTTCCTTCCTGTAGTTAAAAAAAAAAAAAAAAGCACTGTAGTAGTTCTGTCTTTTGTAACTTCAAAAGCAAGGGATGGAAAAGACTTTGTTATGAATATTTTGCACGTTAACAATATAATACCGTCTCTAAAATCTATTTGATTCAGAAAATCATTTTAACATTTTATTTTAATTTGGAATGAAATGAATCATTTCAAGATTTTTAGATTTTAGGCAAACATGATATGTGACATCTTTTGGAATATTGGTTTAATCTCCAATCTTAATTAGGAGTGTAAAGATTCTCTTAAAATTCACTATTGTCTCAAGTAGGTGCTGGTGAAAAACTTTCCTCTTTTTCACCTCCATTCCCTCCCCATTATCTAATTTATTCTTTCATTCATTTATTGAGCTCTATTTAAGCCCTATGCTTAGGGCACTGTGTTAAGCTGCTCAGAAGAAGGGACATAAGCAAAACAAGACAAACTCTCTGTTCTAAAGGAGCTTGAAAATAATGATGACTTGAAGTTTGGAATATGGTTGTCCCTTTGCAGGAGCTACAAAATGTGCAGATAAGGAGGCGGGTAACTTCAGTGAGTCACTCTAGGTGATAAGAAGGAATCCTGGTATGCAGTTTGTGTTAAGATGCCAGTATGGCTAGCGTAAAGTTAACAGAAGGATGAGATCAGTTTGGATATGTGAAGTCATGGGAACTTTGGGTGGTGGGATTTGAACTGTGCTCTGACAGTTGGAGTAAAATAGAAACGAGGAACACAGAACTTCAGAAAGAACCTGGGCTGAGTGGCTGAAGCATGGGAGGTAGTGTGTGGCTGGCTTGTATTATGGAATGCTGTGAGGGATATCAGGCCGGATCCAGATTCTGGAAACTCTCAAATGTTTGAATGGGGGATTGGCACTTCTATCATAAGTAATTGGGGAATGATGGAGAGCAGTTGAGGGATGGGATTGATATGATAGCTGAGAATGTTTAGGAAGAATATTCTTAATGGTAATGGGATAATTTGGAATATGCAAAGGTGTGTTGAGATTGGGAATAGGAAGACGTGAATGTGAGTTCTGACTCTGCCGCTGCCTATCTATGTGGCCTTGTGTACTTCCTAAATGTAATCTCTCTGATTTTTAGAATTCTCATCAAGTCAAATGGGACCAATTCTATTTCATTGGGTTGTTTTGTGAATGAAATGAGATAATGATTAAGAATGATCTAACTCAGAAGGACTAGGCTTTAAAACATTTGGTAGGAAGTTAGGAACGGCAGGAAGTTGGTACCTTATAGGATGGGTTTTGATCTTTCTGCTGGGCAGTCCACTGAGAGAGATGGCCAGAATTCTAAATAATCAGTGTCTTAGAAGGGCATGACATTGATATGTGAGAGGAGAAAATCTAACAAGTGGGTCATAAGCACAAGGATTTCTAGATGGTGTCGCTAACCAAAGTCAGGTATTTGGCTGTGTCCTAGTTCCGGATCTTCAGGCCCTAGGCTAGGACCCAGCCAACAACTGGGAAAGGAGATGCAGTATTCCCATGACAAAATCTATGTAGAATTTCAGGACGCTGTATTCAGAAAAGAGCCACAGATCTTGTCGGGGAACTTGTGCTATTTAGTGATTGAAAGTAGAAACCCAGCTTTTAAGAGGGAAAAACCATCTTCAATGAACCATAGTTCCTTAGGGCTTATTTTAGGTACTGAGATTCTAGGTCTTTCCCAATAAAACTAGGTCAAGGACCACAAGGAAAACATGTAATAAACTCTCTGCCCTGGTCAGAATCATGTCAGAAACAGGGTGGGGCAGAGCCTCCAGGGATAAAATTGTTTTCTCTTGCTGAGCCAGTCTCTAACGGCTCTGGAAAACATTAGCTGCTGTTATTATTGTGATGGCAGTGAAACTGGAAATAAAAAGGTAAATTTGGGAAACGTTAAAAGTTAATGGAAGCTGAGAGATGACTGGATATAGGGTGAAAAAGACAGAGGGGAGTTGAATGTAACTTGAGCATTTTGCCCTAGTTTTTCCAGTGTGTGCCAGAGAACACACTGGAATTGGACAGCGGGACATAGGGAGAAGTGGCACTGGGTCTGGGAAGTCCCCGTGGAGATGTCCCTTTGGGAAGTGGAGGCCTAGCAAAATGTTCGAGTCAGAAAATTTCAGAATTTAGTCATTGTTCCTCCTCTTGTGTTTTCGCCCCTCCCACTAGCCACAAACACAAGGACATAATTCTTCTATTTTCCACTTTAGCTTATCTTTAATATCTTAGAATGTTAAACAGTTATTTTCAGTTTCTTGGAAAGGTGATTGCAAGGCTTTAATTT